CCGCCCCCCCCAAGCCCCCCCTCGGGGGGGTAAAAAAAACCCCCCCCCCCCCCCCCCCCCCCCCCCCCCCCCACCAGCATTCTGTTGACACCATTGATAGCTTACTCGTTCATCTGACCCACTTGCATGTCACACGGCACTTGCAGAGGCCGCCGTCGTTCAGCAACAGATTCAACAGGCTCTCGTGCAGGCTCATCGCCAGGTACGTGGTGACCCCCCGAATTGTCCTCTGCTACATGACCTTTATTTTTTTTAATTGCTTGTTTTGTCTGGTCCTCGACCTCGCCCCTGTACACGCCTGCATCGTCTCATCTGCATTGATACGAATGGTCTTCAACGTCATCAGGGCTTTGAGGAGGGCCGTGCTCGTGAGCGCCGCTCAAAAGAGCAGGTGAGTCACAGTTCAAGTCTGGCCGGCTGGTTCTGGTTCGGGTGCCCACCAAGCATAATCAGCTTCTCACATTTCTTCCCCAACCGTCAATAGGAGTTGCGTCAACTGGACCTGACCTGGCAGGAGCGCATGGATTCGCTCAACCAACAAGTACGTCAATCGTCTCCAGCACTTGAGACACGAGGCTATGCACTTGAACAGCAAGTTGCTCATGTTGTTGTTTGGCTGGGCGGCTCGGCAGCGCGAGGAAACGGCGGATAAGCAATATCAGGAGGCCGTTGGCGAATTTCAGAACAAGTTTAGGTGCGGGGAGCGCCAGAGTTGCCGACCTGTTCATCGCACCACCCGACTCATTTCTGTTCGTGCGTTACTTTGCTTAGCCTCAAGGAACTGCCAGCCTATTGTGCAGAGCAGAAGGCGGCCGTTGTCGATTGTTTGCAGGCACACCCTGGCCGACCGCTTGATTGCGGCGAAATGGTGGCCAAATTCACCCAGTGTGCTGCTCAGACCAAGCGAGTATGTGATTATCAGTCGCGCGTTTCATTCGTCGCTCAACTCATCAACTCGGCTGCGTGTGTACCCATCGGCTCATGTATCAATGTCTCTTCGCTTTGCATGAATCCTTGCTTGATTTTGACGCAGAAGTATCTCTCGAGCATGAGCTAAGGCCTTTTCCAAGCCCGCTCGTTGTCCGATGTGTTTTTGCTAGAATCAAGTGAACGGCGTGTCATTCCATGCCGGAAAAAAAGGAAATCTGAATGCGCTCTTCCGAGCTGGCCATACAAGATGTATTGCATAAAATTTAACTTGTGCGCGGCAGTCGTTGTGTCGTACTACATGTTGTAATTGGCGCGAAATAAGTTGGGGCAAGAATGCGAGTTCTATGTTTTCAAACACCCCTCGCACGGGCAAGGCAATGGAAGGGTGGGTCACAATGGTATCAGTCCTAAGGCAAATGAAGCCTTCTAAATGAGACGAGCTGCAATATCATAACGATGGCCAGGGCCTCCACTTGAGGGAAATCTGCCAGGGGCAGCGACAGCATCAGACCATCAGCACAGCCGAGGGTGGCTAAGAGATGAGCCAGCGCGGTGGTGCAGGCGATTGACAGACTTTGCAAAGAGAAGCAGCTGGAGGAGGGAGAGAAGGGCTCCAAAAGCGTTGGGTAGATGAATAAAGGCGTCCTGTAAAACGTAGCCATAGAGCGACCAAGTCACAGAGACCACAAAGTTCATGACGCATAGAGAAAACACCATACTCTCCGTGCTGCGAGTGCGCCAAACGGTCCCCTGCAATGTGCGTGCAATAGATTGACGAATGGTGAGTCCTTCCCCTGCCCATGGTGAAAGGCGCGGTCGGCGCAGGCCGCCGAGACACGCACCACGGTGGACAGCGGGGAGCCAAAAAGCAAAACTGTGCTTCCGCAAGCAATCAACCCAACGACGTAGATGGCCTGAGGCGCACGGCAAGCTGCGTGAGCGTGGTGGTGGGATGGGGCACGCGCGCAGGAACAAGGGCTTGAGATTTGTCACAACGCACATCCTCGAGCACGGGGACGGCAAACTTGACATAGGCCATGACCAGGACCAGAAAGCCAAAGCTTGAGGTGACTGAGGGAATGTACTGACTCTGGTTTCAGAAAAAAAGGCTTTTGATGAGAAGAGGTCGCACGAGCTGACGTATGGGCTACAGGAGCGTGCTGGCAGCGCTGGCCCCCTTACCGGTGTTTTACTGTAAAGGTAGCAGATGACGACATAGTAGGTATTGAGGCAAGCACCGACGCCATTGACAAAGATGACGGTAAAGTCGTCGACCAAAAGCCCATACTTGAGCCACAGGACGCCGCTGCATCACATTGCCGGAATCACTGCGTGAGCCTGCTGCGGCGGCAGAAATCCGCCTCAATGCAAAGAGCTGCAGCAATCAATCTCACTTGAGCACACCGGCAATGTAGGGAAAGTAGGCCACGCTCTCCGACGAGCGAACTTGACGAATCCGCCGCACTACAGGGCTGCATCAAGGCGCACGCTCAGGTCAGTCCGTCTCGATCCAGACCATCTCGTGCTACCCTGGGCTCGAATTCGACTCACATGCCCGTCAGGAATAGCCCAATGGTGGCCAAAGTGGCAAACCCAGCCAACCCACTCTTCAGCTCCATCCCTGCGTTTTTGTATCTCAAGACACCTTCCTTCCTCTGCTCCCCTCGACCCTCGACCGCCACCACAAGAGCACCGCCGCCACTCAAACTTCAAAAATGAATATGTGTGTGTGTGTGTGTGTGTGTGTGTGTGTGTGTGTGTGTTGACTTTATCTGATAACAATCTGACAAATAATGAATAGAGAGTATCATCACTGTGTTCGTCAGTTTCCAAATTACTCAATAGCTGGCCGGCAGCGACGGACGGTGCTTGCAACGACTGAGACGTGTGTGTGTGTGTGTGTGTGTGTGTGTGTGTGTGTGTGTGTGTGTGTGTGTGTGTGTGTCACTGGGGTTGAGGGGAGGGAGGGGGTTCGGAACGTGGGGCGGTATAGTATATAATATCGTGAGGGCGTGTGGGTTTGGAGGTGACTTCTGTTGTGTCTGGTGGACGCCGGAAAGGTGTCGGACCGAGGGGGGAGGGTGCTGAGACTGCTTGGAACTTGCCGACGACGCATCACCATGAGTCGACTGTACACCGTGGTACTTGCCGCGACAGTGGGAAGCGCGGCCCTCTGGTCCTGTTGGCTCGTTCATCAATGGCGTCAACGGCGCCGGCGCCTTCACAACATCCGTGAAGACTGCAAGCGACAGCTGCGCCAAGTCACGGCCGCCAATCACCCTTCTTGTACGCCTTGCCTTGAGCCACTCCTTGGAAATGCCCCAGCTTCTCCAGGCTCTGTGTCCCAGTTGCTTCAAGGCTTTGTGGCAGCGCGGACGAACGCTTCATCTTGGTCATCTCAACAAGGCATTTTTTTTTTTTTTTTGCTCGCTCCAGGCTTGGGACGCAGCCGCGAAGAGGGGCGAGCACGGCGCCTGGCACGCATTCGGGACCGCATTCGATCTGGCAAGCCCATTCGGTATGCTTTCCATGACCTTGTCAATTTTGGCTCAAGTCGGCGAGGACGACCAATCTTACAGACGTACACCCTGCCTCCACCTTCACAGTGTCCTCAGCCTGGATGGCGGCGGAGTGCGCGGGGCTTTTGCTGCACGCATAATGGAGCGGATCGAAGAGGTTGTCTTCCCCGCCCCGCCTGTACAAAGCCACCACCAAAGATCCCTTCTTCGGCTGGGTGCGCCACCGTATCCGACTCTCACATGCGCACACATTTGAACCGCAGGACATGCCCGAGTTTGTTGACAGCGTTGATGTATTTGCTGGCACCTCGACCGGCACGCTGATTGCCGGCCTGATGTGCATGGGTGCGTCACGCGCACATCATTGACTGCAAATCTCAGACCTGAATGGACTTCCACTTCCCCTGCATCTGGGACAGCGTCTGCCACCGCTTCCCTCACCTGCCTCCATGTGGCCAACTCACCCAACTCCTAGGGCATTCGGCCGCCGTCACGCGCAAACTCTTTGACTTGGGTGCCGTCATCATCTTTGGCCTGCCTCCGATATTGCGGGGTTGGAGCCCCTTTCATGCTGCGCGCGACGGCTCAAACAAGAACAGGTACGCATTGGGACCAGGCGTCCACGCAGACGTGTTGCTGTGCGGCCTAGACTCAATCTCTGGCTACGCGCTCCCCTCGTTAGCGTTTTCTCAGAGATTGCATCCGGTGCGCACATGTGGGAGCTGGAGCGTTACTTGCTGGCACCCACCTTTCGCATGCACACACCTGGCGACGCTTGCACGGGACAAAATCAGTATCATGCGCATTCAATCTGGCACCCGGATTGCATCTCCAACTTTCTCGATGGTTTGTTGGTGCCCAACGTGTTTCATTGTATGCTCCTTTGCCGGCTGTCTTCCCACCGCTCCATCTTATCAAACTGTGTCGCTAGCCAAGACTGGTGAAGACAACCCTCGCCACCTTGATTTGCCGCTCTACAAAGTGGCCATGATGGCCACGGCCGCTCCGACCAAGTTTCCCGTCTACGAGGTGCCGAGAATAGCCTTTGCCAAACTTGTCAAACCCTCTGCATTGTCGAATTTTTGAGCATGTCCGCGCCATTTTCTTGGCCACTGTCGTGCTTTGAGACCGGTATTCATCATATGGACCTCGTCAATGCTCCTGGCACACACGCGACAGGGCTTTATTGATGGTGGCATGTTTGCGAATACGCCGGCGCTGGAAGGAGTATCCGCCATTCTCGCCGCCTTTCCGGAAGGTGAGCTCTGTTGTTTCTGGATGCGGTGTCAGGCATGGCCACTCTTTGATTGCGAATGCGCCATACTCACACGCGGCGGCCCCACTCGCATGTACAGTGGACATTAGCCAAATTGTCGTGCTCAGCATTGGCACGGGGCAAATAGCCAACAGCGTGCACACTGGCTTGCGCCGTGCTCATTGGGGTCTGTTTCAGGTTCGATAAAACGCGTCTTGGTTTGTGCTGGCTTTGACACAAACCAAAAAGAAGCGGATGGTTCGGTCGTTCCGCCAACAATGCCCGTTTCGTGAACAATGTCAACAAGGCATTTCCATTTCTGATGATTGGTGCTGCTTTTGGGGTGGAGTGACAGTGGGCGAGATACGTTCTGGATTTGATGTTTGATTGTACCCAGGATGCTGTTTCCTTCAACCTAACCATGTTGTTGGGCGAGCGGTGAGCAACTTGCATCTTTCTGCATCTTCCTGCCCCGTTCTTGTATGCCGTCCTTCTCCACGGCATACCATTTCTGAACATCATGGCCCCCCGCCTGGCCATAGATATCATCGGGTACAGGGCTTTTTGGAAAAGCCGGTCGAGTTGATTGACGGAAGCATCGAAAAGTATGTGTAAAGCTTGGAAACGCCATTTGCTCAAAGATTCCTCGTGTTATTCTGAGCCGATTTGATTGGGCAGGCGAGACAACATGCTGGTAGCTTCTTGATGCGGCCTGCTTTCTCTTGGTTGGTTTCAACAGTGTGGAGTATCTCAGCAGCGTGGGCAGCCAAGCCGACCTCCTTCCAACGATGGAATTTCTTAAAACCTATTTTGCTGACTAAGATATCAGTCACCATACATGGCTTTGCCCGAGCAAGTTTCAAGGCGCATGCTCTCATCTGTTTTTTTTTTGACTCTGTGGTGTTTGTCAGTTGTCAGTCGATTGAGGTGAGTGACAACCATTTGTCGGATATCCGATATAAATTTAGATCTGATACAAAAAATGAAGATTCAAAGCCAAAATCATTGCCAGCATCGCCGACACCCGATGGAAAGAAGAGCATTCATCCGCCCTTGGCCGAGTGCGAGAGTGCAAGCGGTGTATGGCAATGTCTATGCTGAAGCCGTGACGCCCTTGACGTTCATCTCATAAGGTTTGTTGCCAACCTCATTTTGGCCCCGCTTTCGGACCATCATGATGGCCACACCAGCGACAACACCAACTACGAGGAAGGTGACGAGAAAGGTGATGCCAATGGCCAAGGACACGTCCTTGCTATCATCGCCTTGGCTGCCCTGAGTGTCTGGGCTCGCGGTACTTCCTGGGCTGCTCTCAGCCTCACTGGTCCAGACGCCGCCATAGTAGGCGGTTGCCTTGCCTGTACTCTTGTACCGAGCTACAATGTCCACCATGTACATGGCACCAGCTGGGATGCCATCGATGTACACGTGCAAATCTTGGCCCACGCAGCGATCAATGTCGCCAGTAGACTCGACGATGTGCATGCTGCATGGTGTCGCATGGATGTAGTGGGCCATCATGCTACCCATGGCGTGGCCGTAGATGCAGTACTCGAGGTCATCGCCATGGTTTGGGCTGGCATCCCAGCGCAGTAGGATCTGCGAAGAGTTTGTGCCACTGGGCTCCATATCGACGTATGGATCATCAGGCAACTCGGGGTAGGGCCAGTTGAGCTGGGGCTCCTCAGACCAGTAGATGGTGACAGACGCGTTCTCAATGTTGACGGTTGCGCCCGTGTCCTCCATGTCCATGGCCATATCGCGACGACCCATGTGATGACCAGAGGAGGCATCGCCAGACTGATAGATGTTGTAGAGCTTGATGGTGTAGATGCCGTTCATTGCCGCCAGGTTGCTAAAGTCGACCACCGTCTCATCAAAGTTGAGGCTGCTGATAGAACCAGCATGCGTCACGACGGGTCGGTGAACATGATCAGCGGTAAAAAACAGTCCATCGACAATCTCGCCGTTGGGCGCTGTCAGCGTCCAGTTCACCTTGCCCAGGCAAGGCATCACCGTGACGCGAATCTTGCCATTGGTCACATTCATGGTGTACGTGTTCATGGGATGTTGTGAGTAGACAATCTCATTGTGCTCGGTGTCCGGCGCCAGTGATACAGGTGTCATGCCCATGCCAGCCACGGTTTGCGAGGCCAAGACCACGATCGACACGGCAGCTGCAAAGAGCAAGGCGGTTCCCTTCGACATAACGGCGGTCCAACGGGTGGCAAGTCACGCGGCGCTTAATTTGAGAAAAATGCCCAACCATGCTTCCTCTTTCACATCACTAGTGGCGGGAGGCTAGCAATGACACGCAAGGCACTAAAGCAGGCAGTGGACGCTGGCAAGGCGGGCGTGCGAATCTCGTTGTTCGGCACAACGTGAGGCACGAGCATGGGCGTTCCAGACAACGTCGGAGCCGGAAGCTTTCACAACAAATACTATAAACTCAAGAGGCATATAGGAGCACGGTTTGCAACGCGACGGGCGACCTGCCGAACTTGAGCCGATCGCCAGCGGGTTATTTGTGGCAAGAGCAGTAGACGCGCTGGAGAAGCAAGCTCTTTGGTCAGGTACCATGGCTGCCATTTTGTGTCAGAACGCATTTCATCAGCACTCGTCCATAGAGCATCATAGAGAGAGTTAATTAGACACCTAATGTAAACTGATACTTAAAATGGCAGGGCTTTCCCCGCACGCTGAATACATAACCCCAGACCCCAGTCTTGAGCAGCTAAAACACGAATGGTCCTGTCGTATTCACCCATCTGGCAGCACCATTACATTCGGTTGGTTGCGCTGCCGTACATGAGCGATACAACCAACGGCTCCGACGTACGATGTGGGTTTGGCTCCGACGTTGCTTCACACACACACACACACACACACACACACACACATTTTCGATTTGGATCATTGCATCTGTGTGTGCCCTGTGCATGGTATGAGTATGGTATGAAGTGTGTAAGTGGTGGTCGTGTGAACACCAACAGTCCGGGGCGGCGGCCACATTCCTTCCACATTTGCAAAAATGGGATTCATCAATTCTGCTTAACAGACAGGAGGGCTGATTTTTTTTTCTCAGGACAGCGTCATCAGCCAATCCCGCAACTCGAGTTGTTTGAAGCGTACAGCCTGGGAACGCAGCTGTTTGAGCAGCGACGCACGTCGTTGCTCATCAGAGGGCAGGTCGTGCAACATGCCCTGCAGCTGCGCCAATGAGCAACCTTCGCGAATCAACCGCATGCACTGCTGCCGCAAACCGCCATCTGCCGTCCCACCGCTACTCGAGCTGCCGGCCGCCGGGGCTCCTGAGCCTGTTGCTCCACTACTCGCTCCTGTTGCGCCCGCACCAGCGTCATGACCTGCAGTACCAGAGGCCAGGGTCTCGTCACTCGATCCTGCTCCCGAAGCACCGCTCGCAAGCGCTGCGCCACTGCCATTACCCGAGCCTGCGCTGCCCGCGGCATGAGCGCCCGAAGGCACCGTGCCAGACCCATTTTTGCTGCCTTTGGCGTTCTTGCTCGTTTTGGCAGGTGTAGGCCCGCTCATACTGCTCGTGCTGCTTGCGTCGCTCCCATCGCTGGCGGGACGTTTGATCGTCTTGCGAGAGGTGCTTCCCAGTAGGGTGGAGCGACTTGAGTTGGCTCGCGATTCGGCGGCCTTGCTGTTCATGAGCGAAGCCATCAGTGACGCTGCGTTCGAGTCTGTTGACAAGCCGGCGCCACTGCCCCCACCAGGGCCATTGGGCACGGATGTTGTGGCAGAGGCCATTTGAGGCGTTGGGTGCACAAGTCCGCTCTTGTTTGCGCTCAAGTTGGCCCCGGCATTCCCGCTGCCACTAGAAGGCAGCGCCGAAGTGTTGGCTGAGCCAGCACCGTTGCTGGCTCCATTACTGTGGCTGGAGGAGCCCTCTGTCGGTCGTTTGCGGTCGGGACGACCCTCCTCTCCGCCACTTGGTGGTCGTTTTTCCGCACCCCGCTTCTCGCGGGCCTACACAGACACAACAAAAAGCCATCTGATACCGCTTGGAAACACATGGGAGCACCAGACACACGCGAGAAAACGAAAGCGCGCGCATTGTCAAACGTACAGCCGAGCGAGGCGATTTGCTCCCCGCAGCTCCCGTCAGAGTACTGCGACCAATGACGGTGCTATCGCGCGACTGATCGGAGCCCATCTTGGCAATTTCCGCAGGCGCCGCCTCGGCCTCGTCCACCACCATTGTGTGTTGTTGGCTCTTGCGCCGATAGGGGTTGCCAAAAAGGGGTGGTACATCACTCACTTCTTCATCAGGCAGAGGTGATCGCAGCTCGCTTCGCTGCAATATTTCAAACGTCATGGCCATTTGCAAAGCACAATGCCAGCCATAAGAGCATGACCAGGGCCCTGTATAGTGATCATCTTGTCCACCTGACAGTTGGACGAGCTTAAACTCGAGATTGGGGCTTACCGCGCGTCGGTGCAGAGCCTCTGTGAAGTTGCTCATGGCCGCAATGCTCACGTCGAAAGAATCAGGTCGACGCGGTCCCTCGGGCAGCTGCCCGCTCAACAGGCGACGTGCCTCGAAAATAGTCGCCAGCAACGTGGGCCGACGCGTGTCATGTCCTCGAAGCAATGGGTCCAGAGTACGTTTCTGACAAAATAAACAACGAGTTACGTGAGCAAGCGATGGTAGGGACGCCGGCATACTTGGGCCGAGGTGTTTATTCGGGAAAGAAATGGCAATAGCTTCTCGCAACAGCTGCTCAACAAAGCTACACAAGACACAACTAACCTGAAAGGTATGAACACCGGTCACAATCTCAAAAGAGGGAGAGCTGGCACTGTCTGCATCCTGGGGGCCCCACTGCTTGCTGCTGCGACCACCATCCCGACGACCATCCCGGCCGTTGCCAGCTGAAGGCCCATCCACGGTGGCCCCGTCTCGAAGCTGCGCCCCCGTTTGCAACGTGCTTTGGTGAAGCTGTTGGGCCGCCTGATCGGTCTGGAGCTTGTTGAAGATTTTCATCATCTCGTTGCGGCATTGCGTCTAATGGCCGTTCCCGGGCGTGGATAGGGCATCAGGACACGCGAGAAAATTAAGCGTGATCAAGCGTGATTGGTCCTCAAAAACAGGGCGATTGCCGAAAGAAAGCCGCAAATGCGATCTGCAGGAGCCAAACCTTGTGCCGGTTGACGGTGTTGGCAATGGCTGAGGGTAGGCGGCCAGGGAATTTATCGACGCTCAGCCACCGCGAAGCAGCTGGGTCCACTTTGGAGCACATTTCTGCACGCAAAGGCTAAAACAATGGTGTCAGCAGTGTGGACTTGCTGAAAAAGCAATGCAAAAAAACAAAGGTGGAGAATAAAAACGATAAGTGGTCACAAAAGAAGAAACATTTGGCACCTGGTGATAGTAGTACGGCACTTGCGCAGCAAACGTCTGCAAATGCTCCTGCCACTCGATCGAGGCGCCGCTCTGCAAGCGTTGATCAACCAATTCACGCATCAGCGCAATTCAAATTCGAGACCCATGAGGTCAGAGCGGTACGGCCACGCACCGCTTTGTGCTGCCGCATCAGGGCATCGAGGGCTGGAAAGTTCATGGGAAGCACGACTAGGTTGACCGTCTTGCGCGTTGAGGCAGGCTTGAGATATGCAAAAGGAGGTGAGAGAACCGTCTTGTCGGGAGCGCCCTCGGGCCCTGACAGCCTGCACAGCCAGGCAAACAGGTATTAAGAACAGAGCCCCGACTAAGCGGACTAAGCAACAAGAGCATGATGGGTGCTAGTGCTACAAACGTTTGCTTGATGCGGCAGTGGAAACAAATGTTGGTGCTCTTGTGCGATAGGATCCACTTGGTGAGAGCCGAAGCTTCGAGCTCGTACTTGTCAAAGGGCAAGCCCTGGACAACGATGGGTGCCTGGGGATGCGGCTCAACAATCAGAATTGGAAAAGCGCTGCGTGCGCGCAACCTTTGGCCGCGCTCGGGGGCATAGTCCTCGGGAATCATCTGCATCCGTCCAAGGGCAATCAAAGATCAGCACTCATACTGCTGCTCAACTGGGACGCAGGGTGGGCTCGTGTATATGCAGTCGTACCCAAGTACCATGGAGCTTGCCCGTGACATCAGGGCGCACCCAGATACGCTGCCGTGCCTCAGAGGGCATGTTTGAGGGCGCCGATTTGGACTGGCGGGGATGCAGGGCCAAGTCGCGTGTGAGTTTTGTCAGTCTTGGTTGTGCCACAAGAAGATTGACAAGCTTTTGTCAAACGGTATTCGAGTCCCAAAAAGGAACAGGCAAAAGACGGCACCATTCACCTGTTTGGCTTGTAAATTGACGATGATAGAAGGAATGAGACGACCACCCAGGTGATCCAGGCTGTGTGATAGACCCTGTGCAGCCCAGCCGGGACGGTGAGTGCGGACAATGGCGTGTGGCAGGCTGGCCGATCGTGCTTGAGAGGAGAAAGCAGCTGAAGCCATACCTTGAGGGTGAGGGCGTTGAAGGCTTCGCCGCCTGTGGCATTGCATAAGTCACGCAGGGGGTCGTGAAGGTTGCGCTCGGGTCGATCGCGATTGCGCACGGTGCTCGCGACGGAAATGTTCAAATCTAAGCAACGGCAGTGGCGAGCCAGGGTTGGCAAGAGAGGCACGAGTCGCGGTGGTCTAGAGGAGACGATGCAATGATGGCCAAGCAGGCGCCCACATACTGATGCTGTAGAGGTGAACATCCCAACGAAAGGGCTCGACCGTAAGATCCATGCCACAAGAAGCGTCGGGTGCAGGTAACACGGGCTCGGCCACGGGCCCCTGAGCTGTGGTCAGCCCACCGCCATCGCTCACGTGGATGATCACCGCCGGCAGCAGGTTCCATGGTTGGCGACCCTGCGCGGCAGCAAGTGATGATGATGGGATCCTGTGCCCCAGAGCGTGCCTGGGCCTGATGATGTAACAACATCATGGCTATGCTATACGCACCTGTCCGTAGGTGTCACAATCCTTTGGCATGCGCGTAACGTGCAAGAGGCGGAAGGCAGTGAACAAGGCTTCTGTGGGGGAGGTGCAGTCCTGATGCCAAACCAGGAAGAGGGGGCCATGATCAGGTTTGGTTGAGGAAAGTCAGCAGACGAGACACAAGCGAGTGAAGAACCATGGGTCTTAGTGAGTTGGACACCTTTATCTTACGGTATAGCTCAGCTCTTGCAGGCAAAGCTCGAGGACAGGCAGCGGCTGATTCCAGCACTTGAGCGCTTGCGAACCCTGCAGCGTGTGCGACAAGCCACAGGGGCAAGGAGAATGAGTGGGCGCGCTGACTTTGACGCTGGAAGCCAATACCGCCAAAAGACGCAACCCAAAGCCAGTCAACTAGTCAACTGAGCAACACGATCCAACCTGTTCATAGCTAAGAAGGGAATAACGCTCATAACGGCCGTGACTTGTCTGACTGCGTGCCTGTCAAGTGTGCGGGTCAGGGAGAGAGGAGAGAGAGGCAAAAAGAAGTAAGCAGAAGGCGGCGATGGAGATCAAAAGGAGTCGCATCTATGACAGTTGAATGAGCGGCACCGGGCGAACCTTGACAAAATTGAGAATGGCAATACGAGCCGTGTCCAGACAGCTCATGTTGTGAGGTGTTTGCTTGTGCATTGAGGCACTGGTGTCAATCACAAAGATGACGTTCATGGCGCTGGTCGGCTGCTGTATGATAAAAGCTCAGACAGCCCCGTGGGCCTACCCAGCGCGGGCGCTGCCCAGATACCAGTGACCTCTGCACTGGCTCGATACGTGCCGTTGTGCGATGACCCCGTCGTCTCAGCAGGCCCTTGAAGAAGGCGCCAGTATACATCATGAGTCTCAATGTACACGCATACCACCATCAATCTTCTCAGTGCCCAAGCCAAACCCTCCAAAGAAAACCCCACTGAATGCATTCAAAGCACGCCGTCCCGCGCACGGCCCGCCGCCCGCCCGCCCTCCGCCCAGATCCGCAACCCACGTACCTCTCCGCGAGCCATGAGCTGCTTCACGCAGACATGATCATCCAGTACACCTCCCTGTTCTCCAAATTTAAAAATTAAAGAACCGAGGGAGATGAATTTCTCTTTTCGAACAGATGTTCATGTGTGTCTTTTCAAACTCTCAAACTCTCTCAAACTCTCTCTCTCTCTCTCACTTCATCTCTTCTTGTCTCTTCTTGTCTATGCGACAGGAGTTGGCAGGCGCGCGCGACGTCCATGGTCGAATTCGGAATGCCACTGGTATTTGGTGGCTCTGGCAAACTCAAAGCCTACAACGCATGGGACCGCTTGTAGACAGTCCAGGCAAAGGCGGCGCCGCACAGCAGCACCGAGCTCCGCCACCACCATGACTCTTGCCATCGAGACGCTGGGGGCTCAAGTGGCTTGGCAATGCTTTCAATATACGCCGGTGTCAGCCCCTACCACACAAACAAGCAGCAACCACAAATGAGTTGAGTTGAGTGTTGCTCGTTCCAGAAGGCCACAGGCCACTTTGAAACCCCGGTGCAACGGCTCAAAAGCACCACATACCTCTTGGGCATACCAGAGACGCTTGATCCCCTCGACATGCCCAGCACCAACCACGGCGACTACCAGGTCATTGGAAGGCGATCGCATGGACTCTCGAGGCAGAACAAAAGTATCACGAGCGACACCAGCAAATGTCACCTGCCCCATCATGTTCTCCAACAGGTATTGTTCTATCGACCAGCGCCATTCAAGAATGACCAAAACGCGCCACATGAGGATCAGCAGCAGGCAGAAGTACAAAGATGCACAGCAAACGGCCAAGCTCGCGAGTGGACGAGCCATCTCACCCGTGTTGCGGCACATCATGCATGCAAAGTTACAGGCAGCATTGAGCACATGCGTAATGTAGGCGTCGCGCTCGGCGATCAGCGGCTGGGCAAGCCGTGGAAAGGCCTCCGTGACCTCCTGAATCATTTGAGAGACAACGTCCGTCTTGCGCATCCGCTCCACATCCTCCAGCGACAAATCCGACCACAACTGGTTATTCATCAGCAGGCAAGACAAAAACACGGTCAAGTGATGGCATGCCAATCAAGCCACAGGTTGATGGAAAGAACTGCAAGCCTGTGCCGCCTTGCGATCACAAAAGCGTGGGATTGTATGCCATTGGACGGGCAGCTTTTGTCGCGAGACGTACGTCACTAATGGTGAGAAAAAGGAAGCGCACTTTATCCCAAAAGGTCAAATTGCCCATGGTGCGATTCAAGGTCACCGAGACAGGGCGATCAAGCAGCACGACAGAGCCACCATAGCTTTCACATTCTACCCGTATTCAAGAAAAGGGGGAGCGTCCAGAGGAAGGATGAGCATCAGGCAGAATGAAAGCCAAGGGGCCAGTCCGACTTTGAGGAGGATTTTTTCATTCGACCCATTATTACCTTGCGCAGCGGCGGCAAATTCAGCGCCTTACACAGCCCATGGATACATACAAGCCCCACAAAGATGAGCACAAGTGGCACATGGTAGCACGCACGCCGAGCCGGTTCACAGTTGGAGCGGGAGCATACGACGCCACTGACCGGGCATCACCTCGATCTTGAGCTTGGTGGCGAGCCAGCTGTAGAGGCTCTGCACGAAGAGCTGGGCTATGGTAGCTGAATTACCTTGCTGTACTATCCGCACAATCTGTGCCACCCAGAGTTTAGTTTGAGCCAAGTTCAACAAGCACATCGGAAAAGCATCAGCCATGATGAGAGCTTGATGGTGACAGCAAAAGGAGGGCTCACCTCGGCAAAATCAGGCTCCGCTTGCTGCAGTGCACTGGTATCTGAATAATTCATTTTTAACATGCCTGCCCGCTCCCTGCACAGTTCGACAGCCACCACCGCTGCCCAGTCCACGCATGAATCACCACGTCAGATCAGCGAGGTCACAAAGAACAGTTGTAGCATTGCCTCTTTCCATGCAGCGAGACGTACGAGGACGGTAGGTTCGTATCACTTGAAGAACCTCATCGACCGACTTTTGACTAACGTGTGCCGAGCCGATCAAGATGACGGTCGCACGCGGGCTGCACAACACCTGCTCGTAACACCAGCACACACACACACACACACACACACACACACACACACACACACACACACACACACACACACACACACACACACACACACACACACACACGCAGACCTGTTAGCCACCCAACGGTGTCACCCACCACGCACAACCCCATGGAAAAACTCGCAAGCGCCATACCATACCTGACATGACTCTGGCAAATCGGGAAACATTCCCCGCCCAACTGCCGCCATCTGGCGTTCCAACAAGGCCATCCTCGTCGCCGCCGGCCCCGTCGCCGCTGGCCCCGTCGCCGTCGCCATTCCGTCTGCGAATGAGAGATGGCGGTACGGGCTGAGCCAAGGTCCAGAGAGTGAGCGGCTTCGTCTCTGACAAATTAGCCAAAATCAATGCTAAATGAGAGAAAATGAGCGAGACACATCAATTAACAGAGACATGAACGAAACTGAAGATCGAGAACAAAATCCTCATAAAATTTCTCTGACATTTCCATCTGACAACGCTATAATCATCTGACATTCTGAGCGATCGTCGTTCCCCGCAAAACGCAAGCCGATATTGTGAAGCCCAAAGCCCCCTCACTGTTGTCTGCTGCGCTCAACTTGACAACAACATTTGATCGATGGAAACGGCAGCGGCTCGGGGACGGCGTGAGCGGCAAGGCGCAGCAGGTCACAGCCTGACCGGATAGTTGGCTGACACGGCTACTTTGGCTTGGATTCATCCCGACGCTTCCATTTGCTCCTGCTGGTCCTGTGACGGAGAGGGGGGAGAAGCATCGGATTCCCGTTTGGCACCGCCCTGAGAGTGGGAGAGAGCGAGCAGAGGCGGGGAAGGAGAGCCCTGTATGGTCGCTCGACGGACTCAGCGTGCGCCCCCTATGTTGGCGGCATGGGGAGCGCCCCGAGCAAGTCAACGCCGAGCACGCGCGTTCCCTCCACCTCGCGCGTAAGTGTCATGCGGAGCAGCGCGTTTACAACAGGAGCCATTCCTCTCTCGCCCCCTTTCATCAGACTCACCACTGCCAACCGCTCACGACGCACACGAATCGCTTTGGCAGAAGCTGCAGGTAGCCTCAAGCCGAGAGGACAGCGGCATTGCACCAGGTTTGTGTGACGCCGTGCGAGACCAAGCGCAGCCGTGGCGGTTCGTGTCTGTTTGTGTTTTGGTCTGCACACCAACGGCTCACCATATCAGTCGTACACGCTTGCGTTTGCATAGGAGTCTTACGGCAGCAACAGCGAGATGGGCGCTTTGGGCGTGAGCCATCCTCCTCCTCTAACAAGCTTTCGCGCGCCGTTAGCATCCTTGAAGCCTCGGGCGACTTGACGCTCAGTCTCCAGCCGTCCCGCACCTTGTCCACCTCGACCGCCAAGAAGGCGGTCGATTCCCCCATGCTTCCCGTGCCTGACAGCACCACCCGGCACCCGGCACCCACCGAACGCACCCCCAAACCTGCTGCTGCTTCGCCACAAAGCACCCCTGCCATAAGAATCGCAGAGTCCCAACCGACCAAAAAGCGTTCTACCGCCGGCCAACGCCGAACTAGCGTCGACACGAGCAGCACGAGCAATCGTCTTAGCCCCGCCATGCACAACAGCAATGCGAGCCAGTATGAACTCGCTACCTCTCGTCAATTCGACGAGCAGGTCGAACAAGCTCAGCATCTGCAGCAACAAGTCGAGCGTGCCGAAGACGTTTTCGAGGTTCGCCCCACTTCCAGGCTGACTCATCCCTATTCATCCTCGTGGCATTCGGGTTGCCTGCCCAAGCCTAATCACGCGCCCCCCCCCCCCCCCCCCCTTACTTTTTTTTAACAATCCTGTCATGGTCGCCGCTTATCAGCAATTTGCGGCCGTAATTTTTCGGCGCGCCGAAACAAAAGGCAACGGTTTGCTTGAGCCCTGGGAATATCAAACCATCTGCCAATCATCCACCCTGAACCTCAACTTGGAAGACAAGGTACTCACGCATAGTCAGCGTTGGATCCGGTCGAATGTTGTAGCCAGAGCTGCTGGCCACCGCCCAGCGTTGCTGGCCACCCCCCTCTTTGACAGATCTTCCTCGCAATGCCCGTCCCAAATCCCTCGTAAACAAACAGGACGCTCAGCGACTCTTCAAGGCAGCTGACAAGGACCGTGATGGCAAGCTGCGCTTTGAAGAATTTGTCCCCTTACTACGCAAGCTGTTGCAGCTGGCCTATGCCGACATATCTAGTGCAGAAACCGATTGGATCCGCATCGGTTTCTCAGGTTTGAATTCGATTTCACGTGCGTGCTTGCCATCTTGTGTTTATCCACGCCTGATGAGACATCCTGCTGCGTCGTTACAGGGTACGAGGAGGATGCATTGCCCATCTTCTTCAACAAGAAAACCGGTGCCATGACATACACCACCCCACCCAAGTTCCTGCGCCTGGAGGATGAGGTACGTCTGGTTCTGCCACTGACCCTCCTGACCCTCCTGATCACACCAATAGCCGCACGTCCTTCACGTCAAAATTGGCGCCAATCTTGCCCACGTGGTCTTTGCATCTTTCTACACTCACGTCGGCAGGAGACCCCAACGCAATTCGAGTACTTTGCCATGTCTGACGGCGTCGTAATTACCACATATGTCGATGACCAAGGCCAACGCCTGTATTTGGACAGTGAACAACAGGTAGAGTGGATTTGCCTTGCCATGTCTCGAGTGTCTTCGTCTAGCCGGAGCAGGACTTGCGCCCCAGCCCCGCAGTGGTGTCGGCGTATTCATCTTGCTCGCATCTCCAGGCATGGAAAGTTGTGCCTCGTGAATGGGAGAATCAGATGGAGCCCTGGCAAGAATACTACGGATCGTTTGATGATTACTTTGCCGCCAATCACAACCATCCACAAAGGCACGTTTGACCAAGCCCGCCCCCTCCCCGCCACGTGCGCCGCTGCTTGCCACCCCGATCGGACATCGATCGTTGGACTTTTGCAAGCACTTATTCTTGCATCTGTGATGAATACGCGTGCGTGTGTGCATATATGTGTTTGCGTGCGCGTCTGTATGTGACTTTGCAACAGTGGGCAAACGTTTGCGCATGCGGCTTGGCAGGGCCTCAATTATCAGGTCATCCGCCACCCAGTGAATAAAAAGGAATATTACTCCTGTGCGAGCGTTGACTATCGGACCGTTCGTCTCTACTTGGACGAGGACCAGCAGCTGCGACCCCTCCCCATTGCCTGGGAAGCCCTATTGCCCGAGACGCAGTCGGCGCTTCAGCAAATTAGCAAGGTAAAGTTGTGCGACTGCACCACAGCGTCTGCCCATGCCACCGAGCCATATCGGTATGACTTGACCTGTATCGGCATTGCTGCGAGTGCAGGCCATCCCGACGTGGGAAAGCATCCAGGAACAGGTGCTGGCACTGCGGCTCAACAACTACGATGTCACAGCCACCATCAATTGGAAGGTCGGTCAAGCTTGCTGTGACGGTTCTTCAAACCTCATTGTGCCATCATCCGCGCCCGCGCTCAACACGCATCTTCATCTTCGAGTGTAGTCGGCGGAGATGCAAAACTGGGCCGATCGCAAGTCAAAGCGCAGCCGCAAGGAAGAGCACAACGATGCTCTTCTGATTGCCTCGCTCCAGCAACGCCTGCAAATGTCTGAGCGACAAATGGAGAGCGCGTACAAGGACAACAATCTGCTGCGTGCTCGATTGCAAGTGCTGGAAAATCAACTGCTTCAAGCACGCCACTCTGTGCGTCACAGCCCCACTCCTTGCCCGCCCCTCTACACGCTACCATCTATAAGGGCAGTTGATCTTAACCATGTTTTATGATGCTTAGGCGGAAGAGTCGCGACGGATCGTTGAGCGCCAGGCCAAGCGAATCTTCTTGCTTGAGGAGCAGTCAGAGAGCTTTGTGGAGGAGACGTCTTCTCAGCTGGCCGTTGAGGAGCGCAATCGTTACCTAACTGCGATTCAAGAATTGGTATGTTGGTGTTTGACATCCCTGCTGCTTATTCGCTGATGATGGCCACGCCGAGCCGACGTCTGTCAACGGCTGGTACCATTGGTCATGTGGCACAGTACTGGATGCTGACGTGGTTGGATGTGCGCTCCACAATGCGCAGGAAGCTAAGGTGGCAGCATTGGAGCGTGGGGATCAACATGCTGTGGCACACACAGTCTTACGGCAAGAGCAGCAGTTGTCCTTGGTTCGAGTGGCGGAGTCTCAGCTCCGCGTTCGCCTGCACTCTGCACGCCAATCCAACCGTGCCAAGATTGGACGGCTCGTTTACAGCGTGGAGGTAGGTCGTGCGTTTGTCCGCTTTGACAGCATCAATTTCTGCTGCGATCACCCCGAGCCCCCAGCTTTGGGTCGGGTTCAACTCCCACGCACCCCTCAAAGTTCAAACCCAAGCATCTCATCCACGTGGTTCGACGCCATTGGACAGGAATTGGGGGAACAAAACAAGCTTGTCAAGCAAGAAATGCAACTTGCTGTCACAGAACTGCGCACACTGGCAAAGAACCTGGCTTTTCAGATTGGCAAACTTCACTTACAGTGAGTGGCATGTCCTGGAGCCGAACAAAAAGACAGGACTGGCGAGAATTCACGGTGTGCCTGGTCTTAGACTCGCGGGCGCGAACAAAGACAATACCACTCTGCGTTCCAAGTATCAAAAGGAGTGCTTGAAGCGCAAACTATTGTACAATAAACTGCAGGAACTTAAGGGTACGTCAGGTTGCGAGACGATATGTCATGCTTCGTCGATGAGCCTCCCCGGCAAATACAACTATCTGACCCATTTTTGCGTTTGGGGTCATGTTTGCTTTGTGCAGGCAACATTCGCGTTTTCTGCCGCTGCCGCCTGGATGATCGTGTCCCAAACGTCATTCAATTTGTTTCAGACTCAGAGCTCATGGTGCCGGGCAAGAAGACGGTCAGACGTGCACCATGCCCCGTTTCAGAAGTGGCAGTCACCATAAGGAGGCTGTCAGATTTTCACAAGTGGGCTGTGGGTGTAGGTGTTTGAGTTTGACCGGGCCTACGGCCCACAAACGCGGCAATCTGAGGTGTATCAGGACGTTTCTCCGATCATCACCAGCTGCATTGATGGCTACAATGTTTGCTTCCTAGCTTTCGGCCAGGTTTGTGCGTTTCACCTAGTCTAGGCATACTGATGACTGTTGCATCTTGACACAAATTGGCGTGCTTGGCACATATGGGTTGTAGACTGGCTCTGGCAAAACATACACCATGATGGGCCCTCCGGAGAATCCGGGGGTGAATCGGGTGCGTTCCCAACAGAAATATCTATCCTGCATCTGCCACGTCGTTGATTGCGCTCGGCAGTTTGCTTTTCAATCACATCTCATGAGCCTATACGCCTGCGCATTTGTATGTGATCCATGCAGCGAGCTATCAAAGAGCTCTTTGAAATTTGCCAAGCGCGTGAAGACGTCAAGTACACCATGACGCTCTCGCTCATGGAAATCTACAACGAAAACATTTACGACCTGCTGCGCGGTGACCATGTGCGTATGCTGCCGCCGCATGACTCGTCACGACCTCGTGTGACTCTACTTGGGAATCGTGGTTGATTGGATTTTACCTGCCCTGTAGCGATCATTGCGTATTCGAATGGAGGAGAGCGGACGATCCTACGTCGAACATCTTACTGTGCGCGAAGTGGCAACGGAAGACGACGTCACGCGCGTCCTCGAAGAAGGCGATCGCAACCGCACTGGTACGCGTTGTTAACAGCGCTGGCACAATGTTTTGGTGATCTTTATCGTTTTGTTTTGTTTTTATTTTACCCTTGTTTATTTGTATGCCTCCCCTGTCTCTGCTGAGAGATGAGTTGTGGCGTTTGGCGGGGAGAAAAAGAGCTGAGGCCCAACCTGGCACAAGGTGCTTGTGCTCTCACCTTTTTGTCTCCTCTTGTTCACTCTATTGTGCGATCGATTTTAGTCGCTGCCACATCCATGAATATCCATTCCAGCCGATCGCATTTGTTGCTGGAGATCAATATCCACGGCGTCAATCGCATCACCGGCGTCAACAGTCATGGCAAATTAACCCTCTGTGATCTTGCTGGTAAGTGCTGCCGTCTACTCCAGGACCTCTTGCGAGCATTCATGGTACTCACTGCCATGGACTTGACGTCAGGTTCGGAGCGTGTGGGACGTTCGCAGGCCACAGGGCAGCGCTTGGTAGAAGCAGCTGCCATCAACAAATCGCTGCAGTCGCTCAGCCTCGTATTTCAAGGTAAGCTGACAAACTTCAGTACAGCAAGAAAACAACCCCGACTGAAGCAAGCGACGGGTATTCGCGTGTCCCTACGACTCTCATCCCGATGCCATGCGGATTCGACCCACAGCTATTGCAGGCAAGCAAAAGCACGTTCCTTATCGCAACTGCAAACTTACGCACGTTCTTCAAGACTCCTTGGGAGGTGACGCAAAATGCTGCGTCTTTATCAACATTTCGCCAGCCGAGTCCAACCTGGGGGAAACTGTCTCGACGCTTACCTTTGGACAAAACATATCGCGCATCGAATTGGGACCTGTGAAGCGCAACGTCGCCAAGCCTCGTTTTGACTCCATACCGCGCTAAATGCTTTTCTGTGACTGATTTGTTCATTTGGTTGCCTTTTTCGGTCCTTTGCCAAACGAGAGGCGGGATGCCGAACAAGGCTTTATGCTATTTCTTTCCCCTTTTCCCCTTGGCTCGGTTTTTGTTTTTTGTTTTTTGTTTTTTTCTTGACACAGAGCCTGTCATGCTATAACAGCCCAAAGCTTCTAATTGAATTCATTTAACATGTAAGCTCCTTGACCTCAAACGCGGCGAGCGTCAAGTTCGTTCTCCCACGCCGTGGAGCATGATTAATGCTCTGCTGAGCCATACCCCAAAACCGTGCATATGCAGCAAAACGGGATTCGTTCGAAAGGGGACATCAGATAAAACAAGATGAAATCCTTATCTCTAAAAAATTGACACTTTGATTCAGATGTTAGCTCTCCCCAACATCGTTCACGAGTCAATTGTCCGTCTCATGCTCTTGGCCACTCGACAAGCAAAAATCAGGCAGAAAAAGAACAGCCAGGGATATGGCAAACAGCAAACGTGTGTAAATGGAACTATCCACGACAGCTAGCTTTGATCCTAGTCGACCGTGTAGTAAACCACCAGCTCCGGATAGATTTGAGTGTTCTCAAATATGACCACCTCATGATATTGCCCACACGGTGTCGCAATAACTGAGTCATATCTAAAGAGACAACAGACGCAACAGACAGGTCAGACGGTGGCCAAAGACACCCGGCTGAGACTACCATACAAAAGAAGCTGTTATGTTCAACGTACCGCTCATTGTTGGGCGCATTGGGCAGAAGTGGAGGAGCCGGCGCTCCAGCCGGAGGTACTTGATGAACATAGGCATGGCCCAGTAGCGCTCGTGTGATGACGAGCATGCGTTCGCCGTTGGATGAAGGTTGAGCGTACAGATGACTCTAAGATCATGGAGGGACACACCACATCAGAACAGCAGCTTTCACCCAGACAGGCGTCGAAATTTAGAGTAGAAGCTACCATACCTTGCCGGGGTGATCGGCCAAGTATACACCAAGGCCGAATCGGTGACCGGCGCCACTGCCGGCGAAGCGACAGTCCAGGCCCAGGCGCACAATCTTGTCACGCATCGATCGGTCAGCGAAAATGCCGTGAAGCAACAGGCGCTCCTGACAAGATGTATCTCGCAGCAAGGCTGGCTGGCCCGGGAGCGCGTCCACTGTGGCCGTTTGAAGCCGATCGTAGGGATCTTGGGCCGTGATGCGATGCAGCATCTCCCGTCGCTTTGCGCTGTAGCGCTCCCACAATACAGGATTTTCCACACGCTTGACCCGCTGCACAGTAATATTTGCTGGCCCGCGCCCATCCGTGCCCAGCTGCTTCAGCAGGTCAGCCACCTAGCCACCAGTATATTCACATCAGACGACTTGTAAAAGAGCATTCAAACAACAAGCAACGCACCTCTGAAATGAGTTCGGGCGCATCGCGCAATACGTCAATGGCTGGCCCGACCTGGGTGGTGACAGGTCGGGCCGCCAACTGTCCACCACTAAATAGGCTTGGCCGTTGTTTTGGATCTGCTGCAAGCAGGGCCCGTGTTTCCTTGTACAGTTCATTCATCGAATCGCACATCTGCAGAGAAATCCAATATCAAAAGACACTTACAAAAGAGCATTCAAAGCGAGGCACCATGAACCGACCCAACCAACCATACATCACTCACCTCAGCCGCCAGGTGCGGAAAGCTGCAGGCACCATCCCCAGCCGATAAACTCCATCTGCAATGAGAAACAACCTCATCGCTACACGACTGGGCAGGTGGGATCGTCTGTGGATACATGTAGGTGTTGTAGAGAACACAGCCAAAGGAAAAGGCATCCTGTGCCGGACGTGCGCCCACGCGGCCCCCACCGAAAAGGACCTCGGGTGCTATATGGCCTGTCGTGCCCGACGCAGCGGTAGTCGTGCAAGGCAGCTTCGTAGCTTCGGCTGCCGCCTTGGCAATGTCGAAATCGCCGAGCCGCACAACGGGCTGATCCTCGTCGCCGTCCAGCATCACATTGCTCAGCTTGACATCCCGGTGCACCAAGCCCTTGCTGTGCATAAAAGCCAGCGCCGAGCGCAGTTGACTCATCAAACCCGCAATGACGGCTGAGGTGGCCAGATGGCGCGCTTTGCTCAGCCACTGCTGCAGATCCCCCTGGGCACACCACGGCTGCACCAAGTAGGCGCTAGGTTGGCCCTCTCGCACGTCCACAAGCGCACCAAAGACTGGGAGAATGTTTGGGTGCTCTAGCTGGCGCATGGCACGAAGCTCGCGAAGAAACGTACGACACTGATCTTGTTTGTGCTGTCGAGCAAATGCGTACTCCTTCACAGCCAAATCTTGTTCGAGATAGTTTGGCAGCGCCGCACGGGCTTTGTACACTTTGTGATTTTGGCTGTACTGGAGGTCGAGCTGCCCCAGGCTGGAGAGCGTTAACGCCTGGTCCACCTCGGTCATGGCCTCCAAAATGAGACTGGTGGGAAGGTCTGGGCCAAGCACTGTGCGGAGGTGCACTCCCAAAGCACTTTGCTCAGGGTGCAAAAAAACCAGCAGAGTTGGAAAGTGTTGGCACAGCAGCTCTGCCAGTGCTACCACCTGATCCACCTGTATTTGATCTGATAATTGGTCTCGCAGGCTGGCCAGACGCTCTTTCTTTTTCCGCAGATCGGCTTCAAGACTAGTGCGTAGCTCATCTGGGGCAAACGCCAAGAATGATGTGGTAGCCTGCATTTGCTCCTGTAGCTTGGTCACTTCCTCATGAACAGATGCAACTGAAGCCGCGCTGTCCTGAGTGATTCCACTGGCATATTTAATGCCCAAGGTCAACACGGAGAGTGTCGTGGTCTGCCAGTCGATCATGTCTTGCAAATGCTGCACCAGAGCCTGTGTCTCATGGAGCACAAATGCTAGGTACCAATCTTGATGCCCATAGTCGTGTTCTGCTCTCCAATCCGCGAGCTGTTCCAGGCCATTCTGTCCGGGCAGGGACAGTCTTTCGTGAGCCTGGCATAGCTGCTCCCATGCATGAGGCAACGCCTCGGCTGGAGGCGGTGCGCTCACATCCAAACATTGCGCGCATCGTTGCAACGTCTCGACGTGATACATCGTGCCGGTGGCCCCTGCCTTAGCCAAGGCGCTCAAGGCATCGATCAAAGCTAGCACCAGGCGTTTGAGGTTGTTGTTGGTGCTGATGAGCAGTTCTTGGCGCTCGGCTCCCACGCCGCCATGCAACATGGCAACTTTGTCCAAAGCTTCTGCAAGATTGGCGGGTGGCGTCTCTGGTGCGTCTGTTGTCACGGTGAGTGGCGTGGGGCATGCTGCCAACGCAGCCTGTAGCTCGAGAAGAACTGGTTGCAGCTCAAACTGGCTAGCAAGATCATGCAACTCTTGGAGCACTGATACCAGATTGTCAGTGTTTGGGTCTAATTGACTCAAGCGGTGACTTAGCGCTTCAGGCGTTCGAAGTGCCTGATCAAGCGCGCCGAGGGCTTGGGTGGTGGTAGCCTGGAAGTTGGCCCAGTCCATAGCAGGAAAGTCTGGTGGAGCTTCATCAAGGGTCTTTTGTATGTGAGCGACTCTCGTTGCAAGATTGGGGTCGTGTTTTGTGGCCCCGCTGATAAAGGCCTCGAGGTGTGGGAGGGGATGGGTGGTGGTGCGCTCGGGCAGGAGTGGCTTGAGCCAAGCATCCACCGCCAACAATACAGAGGCCGTAGTCTAATGGAGTTGTGTGGTGCCATGGTTGTAAGAGGTTGGATGAGGGATGGGTTTCAAACAGGAAGCGTGTTTCGGTGCACACGAGAGGTGGAGAGTGAAGGCGTGGGGGCCTCACCGCGAGGGTGGGCGCAAGGCTGGGCAAGGGCGGCAGCCATGCGGACGGCAGGGCAAGCGAAGGGGGCGCGAGAAGCTTGAGTGGTTGTGCGAGGCGAGCCGCATGGGTAGCAAACGTCGTCTCCAACTTATCGCCATGCCCGGTGCTACGTCCCCACTCAAGGGGTGTTTTACCATCCTGAGAGGCACGGGCCACAGTCAAACAATCAGAACGTAGGATTACGATCAATAAAAATAGTACTCATAAGATGATTTTACCTTCAAACATCAATAATTGCACCTATATAAACTATTTTGAATGGTCCATGTGAGCTGGGCAACGACGCGAGAATGAACATTGGTGCCATGCATTTGTTTCCTCAAAAAAAGAAAGACGACATCGAAACGCCTTGCGTGTGTGGAGGCCCATCGATGGGAGAGCGGTGTTCGGTTATATCAAGCAAAAGCAGGAAGCGGCATGAATATACTGTGGGAATGTCATGGTGCATAGAGATGGCGGCTGGAAGATATCTGAAGGTGAGGGAGGTGGAAGCGGACAGCATGTGTGGCAACTGTACCAAGAAAATAATGTCATGTCGGTGCATAAGCGCAGTCCGAAGCGCAAGCAATGGCAGGCAGCAGGTACACCATGGGCGGGAAGCAAGGCAAGATGTAAAAAAGAAACTGAACGGGCGGGTTCAAAAGAAGCGAGGCACTAAACTGGACAGGGCAAGCACGAGGGCGTGTGCACAAGAAGACGAGATGGTGGGAAGGCATGAAAGGTAGGGTAGAGTATAGAGAAATAGACAAACAAAACGAGAAGGAGGAGCAAGAGCAGCCATGATGGAGGAGTGGGAGGCACTGACAATGCACTTGGCCTCAGCATCGGCGCCATGCTGCAACAGCGTCTCTGCCACCACCACATGCCCGTTATAGCAGGCACCGTGCAGCGGTGTGTTGCGTTTCTGCGGGTTGATGCGTCATCACGTACGGATGCAAAGTCCACAGTATCTCGATGAGTTGTTAATATACCATCCGACATGATGCATCAGCAGAATATGCATCACGAATGGGGAGATAGAAAGCAGAAAGCAAAAAGCACCCAAAATATGTAAGCGAAGCTACTGACGTTGTCCTTGACATTAGCATCAACGCCGTGCTTCAACAGCATCTCCACCACCTCCACATGACCGTTATAGCAGGCGTTGTGCAATGGTGTCATGTCTCTCTGTCATCACACACAGACAGCGAGAGTTGCAGCACCCATGCATCCCGTTGTCCCAGGATGAGCTGTTTGCATACGAGATTGGTGTACCACAGGACATGCAGAGAGAGGGGAGCGGTCAAGATCAAAGTGCAGTCATCAAGGAGAAAGCAAAAGGCTCTGACTTTATCCTTGGGTGTCGTATCAACGCCGTGATTCAAGAGCATCTCCACCACCTTGGCATGGCCGTTATAGCAGGCCTTGTGCAGTGGTGTTAAGCCATTCTGTAAGTGAAGGCACCATCACCACGTACAGATGTATTATCGTGTGTCCCACAGTGGCATCGTGAGCAATGCAAAAACTGGATCCGGCGTGCCAACAGCACATGCAGAAAGAGAGAGGCAACATCAAAAAAAGAGCGGGCAATACTGACTTTGTCCTTGACTTTCGTACTAGCGCCATGCTTTAACAGCATCTCCACCGCCGCCACACGACCGTGGTAACAGGCGATAAACAGTGGTGCCACGCCATTCTGTGGGTTGATGCACCACCATTACGTATGGTATGGGTGCAGCAGTCTGATGCATTTGAGAACGGGTCACAACAGTTTGCCAAATAACTGACGTACCACATCTCTGAAAGTGGCAGCGGAGCGAATGCGTTGTGGGTCCCAGCTGTTCAACAGCCGCAACACTTCTTGTGGATCTGATGAACAACTCGCATTGTACAGCTGCCAACCATCCGAACTCATGGCACCGGTCGCTGGATCAACGTCTGCTTCTATGGCAAACTCCAATTTAATGAGCCCCTCCAAGTGAAAATTGTCTGACTACCAAATGTCTTGTTGGAAGTCGCCGAGGGGGCGTGCGCGACAAAACGGCAGCCAGGGCGGCAGATCTTGCTCGTCTCACTGGCGCGCCAAACGACTCACCTCAGGATTACAGTTACAAACAATGTATACTTGTTTGCCTAGCACGCGACGTCAACAGTGCGATCAGCTCAGTGGCACTCAAACTCATGCACGGAAAAAAAAAGCGGCAGCGTGCGCTCAATGATAGATTCTCAGACGTTCTGGCATCGTCACAAGCCCTTGAGCCGGTGGTCCCCATGGTATCCACAAGCCATCTCACGCAAGATCAGCCAGCACGCAATGGCACTGCACCTCAAGTCGCCAGCGCCGGCCGTTAATGCCGAGAAACGCGACCAACAAGCTCAAACAGATGATGATGCTTTAGGATGATGACAACGAACAACAACAACAAGCAGGATTACATGTAATCATCGTAATCGGCAACTGCTGCGTGTTGCCTGTGCCTGTGTGTCTGTGTGTCTGTGTCTGTGTCTGTGTGTCTGTGTCTGTGTGTCTGTGTCTGCCCCTGTGTCTGTGTGTCTGTGTCTGTGTCTACCCCTGTGTCTGTGCCACATACGCCCACAGTTTAAGTGGCAATGTGGGTCGAGTCCGAAATGTGCTGGCAACCCTCAATATTATGTCGACGTTTTTCCAGCAGCACCCCACATCGTTGAAAGAGAAACCAAAACTACATTAGACTCTTTTGTTGAAAGCAGAACAGTGGTTTAACCTCTTTCGAAAGAAAGCACGAACCGGATTCTCATGAGAGTCCGACAATTTGGTGCAGTGAGCAAAGTGCATTTTTCTTTCGCCTGGACTGGCGACAAGCGCTTGGAATACAAGCATCGCCGCCATGTGGTCCAGTTCAAGCTCGCATCGACCCTGCTATCAGAAGAATGATCTTCCCACATCCTTACAGCGCCTTGTTGGAAGGCCAATCGACCCTCTTGCCTATGAGCTGCTCGAGGCCAAGAGTCAGGAGCATGACATGATCTACAGACTTTTGGACGAGCTTGTTTCACAAGCGAGCAGACGATCTCGGACTGCAGGGCATGTGCCCGAGTCTTGGCGCGTCAAAGACGATACGTCACCTGAAGAATATCTTGAGCTGTGTCAAAATCTTCTTGTCCGGGAGACCGCCGAAGAGTTTTGCGCTTTGGGCAACCTGGCCAAGGAGCCGGACTTTGATATTGCCTTCAATCGTCGCGATGAAGATGACATTACACAAGGGCTGCTGATTCATCGAGTATGCCCCAAGGGTGCGTCTTTGAACGCTGATGCACTGCGGCAACAACTGAGCACCTTCAGAAGCACTCTGTTTGTTTGGGAGGGCCGCCTTTGCTTTGCCAAGCAGCCATACGTGAATTGCCCTTGCCGCAAAGAGTCTGAGAGAAATGGGACCTGTGCATCGGAACTGAAGCACGAAAATTCGTTGAATGACATTGTTGACATTGTCGAACGGCTCCGAACAAATGAGAAGAGTCAACACGAATCTGCCGACGCCACCCATGCCGACAATGATCCTGATGGAGCTGATGCTGACCAAGCTTCACGTAGCTCTGATACCCCCAATGCTGTCACGCAGTCGGCTGATGTTGCCCAGGTCCCCAGTGATGATCCTTCTGCTGCTGCTGTGGCGACAGACTCATTGAAATGCTTGCTCCACCCAAACGCGACGCTGCAAGTGCCGTGTTGCGTGGGCCCCAGTGTCGAAGCCTTTGCCGCCCCCAGCGTCATGAAACTGCCTTCCTCACGCATCCGGCAGCTGAACTCGCTGGCAACGATGCTCACCACCGTCGCCTTGCTTGGTACAGCACTCGACTATCTTGCAAGGCAGGATAAGCGAGCCGCCGACTTGGAGCACTGGCTGGAGGTATTCTGCAGACCACAACGTCGTCGGCCGTGTCTCCAGCTGCAACCACAGCCCAGGGCCACAGCGAAGGACCCAAGCCAAGATGAACACAAAAAAGTTGTGAAAAAGTTTCAACATGAGCTGGAAGTTGTGCAAGGTCCACCAGGCACGGGCAAGAGCACCCTCCTTTCTCGCGCAGTCGCCCACTGCGCTGAATCAGCCTTTTCAGAAGATGGAGACAACTTCCTACCCCATGCCATACTGATCGTTGCTGTTCAAAACAAAGCTTGCGAAAATATCCTGCAACGTCTTGATTCTGAAAACGTCTCCATGAATCAAGTCCTTGTCTTGGGGACGGAGCGCCACGCCGATCGCCTGGGACCATGGCAACGCTGCGCCTTGATGCAAAATCATCAAGAACGTGACCCAGATGTGCAAGCTTGGTATGCAGCCTTTAACAATGCGTCGAATTCAGAAGCGCGTGAGAAACTACACGATCGCCTCCAACTTGCCCTTCGGAAAGCGGAGCTGAGCCTTTGCGCGACGGCCAAGATTGTGGTTGCCACCTTGGACTCGGTGCAGCTTTTGCTCACCAGCAGGCGACTGATGCTCCTGCGTGACCGGATCAAATGCATTTTTTGCGATGAAGCAGGTACCCTTCCTGAGTTCCGCGTGCCCATCTTCTCTTTCTTCGATACAAAGTTTGTTCTCTTGATCGGTGACACAAAGCAGCTTCCACCCTTTACTCGGTTGCCCTACGAAACCGCTCGAGGCCCCCTTTCTCCGATGGCCCGCATGCAAAAGTGTCTGGGACAGGCTGGCGTACACAAGCTAACGCAGCAGTATCGGTCACATCCAGTGATCAGCAATTTCGTGTCGAAGCTCTTTTATGAGGGCAGCTTGCATACTCACGAAAGCGTGCACTCGCGCAAATGCAAACCCGGCCTGGAATACTTTGAGGGCTTGCGCTACGAATACACTCATCAAGATGATGATCATCAGGAACAGACGGTGGAAGAGCTTGTGGCGATCAGCCAGCCAAACTGGATCGAATGCCTTTGCAAGGAATCTATGATGGACGTCGCGCGTACCTCCTATGTAAACCTGAAGGAGGCTCTGGCGGTGCAGGAGCAGCTGGAGAAAATTTTGCACCGCGTCGCCACAGCGCAACAACTAGCCTCGGGCCCATCTACCCCGGAAGAAGCCTCAGAAGCCTCAGCCTCGGGAGAAGCCTCGGTCATGCCTTGTGTGACAGTCGACGTGATCACATTTTACAAGGCTCAGGTTCGCGTTTTGGAACAGAGACTTCTATTTTTGGGTATCATTGCGAAGGGCGTGCAGTACAATGTGCGCATCGAGGTTAAGACCGTGGACGCTGCTCAAGGCTCAGAGGCTGATGTGGTTATCTTGTCCCCTGTGCGCTGCCACGCATTGACGGACGACAAGACGCTTGGTTTTCTCCAAGATGTGCGTCGCCTGAACGTGGCATGCTCTCGTGCACGTTCCGCACTCATCGTCGTTGGTTGCTTGTCTTACTCACATGGGTGCGTTGACAAGAACCGAATTTTCAACGAGTTTGTTGGTTTGGCCAAGCCCTCGAATCATTTGTGTCTCCCAGCTTCACACCCGGATACCATGCTTGAGGATGACTTTATCTGACCCGTCAGATCCAATTCTTCCTGTAAAAGCGAGGAGAACGAGAAGTCTGCGAGCGTCTGTCTTGCAATAGTTCAATGTGGGCCGGTGTAGCATTCTCACCTTGCCGTCGTGTTGGCGTGCATGTATTGGCCAGCAATGTGGTTCTGATCTTGCGCTCAGCATGGTACCAACTACAATTGAGTGATGCGTTATTTTTCTCAGCCAGTGTATTCATTATTCAAAAGCTAAACCAGCGTGCCAGCAGAATGAATGCCGAGGCTCTGAAACCAGTGAGGGTTGGACACGGCATCGCAGTCACATGCACGGCAAAGCACAGGCAGTGATGATCCCCCGGTCTGCTGGCGCAACGTTTCTGTTCAAAAGCTCCGTTGTATGCACAGCGCTGAGTTTGTTTGGTTTCTTCGTGGCGTTCCTGGAGTTGTGTTGAGCGTGTGGCATTCGCACAAATTCAACATGGCTGCGGCCTTCTTCGAGCCGCTTCAAAAAGCCGATCTTTTTTGACCTCGAGTTGCTTCCCTGAAGGAACTTGGCGCTCAACTTGCCGCTGCCGCTGAATCACAACACGTGCATAACTACTTCTGAGCCTTTTCCTGGTGGCTCGGATTTCTATCACCTCGAGAGTCCATTATCATGATACCGTCACTCGGGGAGCAACCGCTGCTGGGTATTTGTCTAAATGGACGCAACGCTTGTGTAGGCGGTTAATCCGTGCCTCGAGGCGCCTAATGGCATAAAAGTTTGCTACCCACTGTTCTAGTGCCTCGTGCTTGGGAAGAGAGACGAACGAAATCGCTTCTGAAGAATTGACCAAAAATAAAAGGTACACTACATTTCTATCGTGCCAGTCATCACCTCGACACGCCTGTGTCATGAAATCGACTTTACTCTTGGCGACTCCATGCCAGGCAAGAAGAGCCAACCGCCATCAAGCAGAGTTTACTAACACTAAACTGTAAGAATATAAACCAAAAAAAAATTCGACTCAAATTCGTTGAAAATCCCTGAAAAAAGATCATTCAAGTTAAGAGAGAGATCAAGAGAGAGAGAGATCAAGAGAGAGAGAATCAAGAGAGAGAGAGATCAAGAGAGAGAGATCAAGAGAGAGAGATCAAGAGAGAGAGATCAAGAGAGAGAGAGAGAGAGAGAGAGAGAGAGAGAGAGAGAGAGAGAGAGAGAGAGAGAGAGAGAGAGAGTGAGAGAGAGAGAGAGAGGGAGAGAGAGAGAGAGAGAGAGT